GGGGGGCGGAGGACGGCGCAGGAGCCGCAGCCGCCGTGGGAGCAGCCGAGGGGCCGGTGCCACCTTCGCTCGCCCCCTCACTACCATGTACAGTGTGCGCTGCAAGAAGAAGGCGGGCGATGTATGCACACCCCTGCGCCCCGCTCCCTCTGACTCGTCCCCGGGCGTGCGCCACTGACCAGGGGGGAATGTGGTGAAGACGGCGAGGAGAGCCGAGGGGGGAGGGGAGGGCCGGCCCGCGCGAACCCAGGCCCGAGGGTGCGAGGAGCCGGAGGCGGCTGGAGCGGGTGGCGACCGCCGCTAGCTTGGAGAAAGTTGGCCCCTATACAGATGGCAACTGTAAGTACCCGCCTGGGGGGTGCGGCGGAGGATGCCGGGGACCCAGCGATCGCGCGGTGGCGCGGCTGGGAGCGAGTGAGCATGAGTGTGAGCGGGTGCGAGCGCGCGGCGAGGCTGACCGTCACGTTGGCTGGGCCGGCGGGCAGCCTGCTCCGCGTCTCCCTCCTCGGGCTCCACGCCTCCTCCCCCTCCAGCAACTCCTTCCCAGCCCCTCGCGGCTCCAGCTCCCGGCCCCTAATGCGAGGCGCCACGACCGCCGGTCCTCCGCCGCCCCCTCCCCCTCCCTTCCCGGCTCGCCGCTCGCTATCGCCCCCCTCTCCCCCACTCCCACCCCGCTGCCGGCTCCGACTACCACGGAGAGCGCGGGGGAGAGCCGGTTGGGGAGCCCCGGAACCCGCGGGCGCCACCACGGCGGCGGCCCGCGGGTGGCGGCGTCCGAGCGCCTCTTTTCTCCAGCCGCTCGGATCGCAGCGCTCGCCCTCCCTCGGCTTCCGAACCCCGGTGCACACCCCAAAGAGGTATTTTTTGTAAGGGTGGCTATGATGAGTGGGCCTTGGAGATGTGAGACGGGGTAAGTCGGCCGTTTACTTTGCAAAAGAGGCTCCAGTGTGTGTGTCTGTGTGCGTGGCGGCCGGGTGGCTTTCTTTCCCTCTCCGCCCTCCCTGCCCCCCCGCTTTCCCTTCCTTTGCTTCGGGGCGGGATGGGGGAGGGGGAGCCTCGCGTCCTGGAACTCCGGGCGCTTCTGCCTGGGCCGCTGTGGGAGCAGCTGTGCCCGGAACCGCGGTTCCGGCCTGGGTGCTGGGCTTCAGCCCGCCCGGCCCCACGTTGCTTAATGCAGGGATGTTCAGGGAGACTATCCAGGGTTTAAATTCTTTGGGGGAAAACAAATAGTTACCCCGCCCCCGCCCTCCATTAAAAAAAAAAAAATCTGAGAATCTGAGAATGTGCCGCGTACCCGCGAATTTACATCGGAGGTGCGTTTCCCAGTCAGAATGTCAGCCTTCCCTGGCTCATTCAACTTTATTTTTTCAAATTTTGGGGCCCCTTTGATGGCAAGGAGGAGGGGAAAGGGAGTGGGGTGAGAGGAAGCTCCTCGACCCTGGCTATCCAGAACTGAATTAAAGTTGTAAACCCTCGAGTTTAATATTGGCTGGACACATTTTGCGATGGGCTGTCAGAGGGGCGGCAGGTGAATGGGGGCGGGGAAGCACCGGGAGGGAGGGGGAGGGGACCCAACCCCACTTGAATGGATGTGCAGATTTGATCCCGCGGAGAACGGAAATTTCAAGGTAAACGTTTTGCTTTCATAGAGGGTGTTTTTGCCGCTTTTAAGCCGGGAGGTGTTTGTCGTTGCTTTGGGAGGTCGGAGATACTTGCGACGTTTATACACTGTGGGTTCCCATTCGTCTCGACACGTCTGGGTGGCCACACGTGAATGATTCGCAGGCACACTTGCACATGTGCGTGAGAATGCAGGGGCTGTTAATAACGCGGGCTGGAGTCGGCTCGGGGATGAAGATCGAGGTCTCCAGGCTTGAACCCGTGACTCAGAAGCGTCTTGGCTTTAGTTTGAGGTTGCGATTCGACATCAGACTTCGGTGGTGGTGAGGCAGAGGCAAGGCTGATCAGAGAAAAGGCATTGGTTCTCCGAGCCCAGCATTTCTACTAAATATTCCCACCCACCTTCCCCCAACCAACGCAACACGCACTCACACACACTCACACACTCGCTCCATTTATGTCCTTTCCTTTATGAGTGCTGCTGTCGACTCGAAGTAGGAAGTCGAAGGAAGCCTTTAAGGGGACAAAAAGCCAGAACGAAAAGGGAGAGGGGCTCAGATTGATTCCTTGGGGAGATGAAATTCGGATATTAAAGCACTGGCTTGTGTCACTTGCTGTTCTCCCTCCCTTACACCCTTCTATTTTGCCTCTTAATCAGCCCAAGTCCCCTTTCTCGGGGGGAAAAAAGGGGGCGTAGGGGGAGTAAAGCACTGACAATTAAATGTAATAAGCAACTCCAAAGATGGGGATGCTGGCGAGGTGGTAGTTCACTCCAAATCTCGCAAATTCGGTAGGGTTAGTTTTGCATACCGTGGCAAACAGACGCGGAGCCCCAGGTTAGAGAGGCTTTGGCGCTGGTCCTTGGTTTACTTTTAGCTGGTTCCCGGTAAGCAGTAGGAACGTCCTAAACTCCAGATATTGAGAGGTGTTCCGGGATTGCGGATGCTTTCGCAGAGTTCTTTGTAATCCGTCGTGTAGAACTATTTCAGTGGCTTAAAGATGCGGTTTAGTAGCGTCGCTGACATGATCAATGAGGAGAAGTGGACGCAGGGCGCTCTCAGGGAAGAGAGCTGCTAAGTGGCACCGTGCACGCAATTAGGACGCTGATGTGCTTAATAGCGTGATAGTGAAGTCCACCAACAAAGCGAACGCGCTCTCCTTTTTCTCCATACTCAAAGCTCCTGAAGAAAATTGGTGACTTAAGAGCTTCTTCTGGGTCCTTTTGATGAATTATCTTGCATCCCTTTTGCCTCTGGAAAGCATTCTTTAGGTTCCCACTCTGGCATTTCCAGCGATGGTTTTAAAATAGCCAAAGTATTGTGGCTCCTGGCTTTGCTGTGAAAATGGGAGACCTTCACTGTGAACTGTTACCTGAAGAGGTTCAGAAGGAAAGGCAGAGGGACTGGGTATAGGTGAGGTGGGGAACCTTGTAAAATGGTGCTTCCTTTCTCTTAAATTAGAGGCATGAAACTGAACTGACAGCCATTTTATGTATATTTATGGATTGGTTTTGAAGGGGGGGGGAGCCGGGAAGAATACTAAAATGGGACTTTGCCTAACCTGCCCTTATCTTGTAAAGAGCAGCATGTTCCTATTGTCATTAGGAAATGAAATCAACCTTTAAATCAAAATGAATGTCAGATTTTAATAAAGTCTGGAGAATTTCGAGGTACCACGGATGGTGGAGGGGGAGGGGAGGTTCATTCTTATCCCCTCCTTCTGGATTTCAGAGTAGTATTAGGAAAGAGACTTTCTGATTGATCCCTTAAATTTTTGTCATATTCTGTTGTTTCCTTTTTTCCTGTCTCCCTTGCAGGAGATAAAATGCACACTTGCTGTCCCCCACTAACTTTGGAACAGGACCTTCACAGAAAAATGCAGAGCTGGATGCTGCAGACTCTAGCTTTTGCTCTAACATCTCTCGTCCTTTCGTGTGCAGAAACCATCGATTATTATGGGGAAATCTGTGACAATGCATGTCCTTGTGAGGAAAAGGATGGCATTTTAACTGTGAGCTGTGAAAACCGGGGGATCATCAGCCTCTCTGAAATTAGCCCTCCCCGTTTCCCAATCTACCACCTCTTGTTGTCTGGAAACCTTTTGAACCGTCTCTATCCCAATGAGTTTGTCAATTACACTGGGGCTTCAATTTTGCATCTGGGTAGCAATGTTATCCAGGATATTGAGACTGGGGCTTTCCACGGGCTGCGGGGTTTAAGGAGATTGCATCTGAACAATAATAAACTGGAACTTCTGCGTGATGATACCTTCCTTGGCTTGGAGGGCCTGGAGTACCTACAGGTCGATTACAATTACATCAGTGTCATTGAACCCAATGCTTTTGGGAAACTGCATTTGTTGCAGGTGCTTATCCTCAATGACAATCTCTTGTCCAGTTTACCCAACAACCTTTTCCGTTTTGTGCCCTTAACGCACTTGGACCTGCGGGGGAACCGGCTGAAACTTCTGCCCTACGTGGGGTTGTTGCAGCATATGGACAAAGTTGTGGAGTTACAGCTGGAGGAAAACCCCTGGAATTGCTCCTGTGAGTTGATCTCTCTGAAGGATTGGTTAGACAGCATCTCCTACTCGGCCCTGGTGGGGGATGTGGTTTGTGAGACCCCCTTCCGCTTACACGGCCGGGACTTGGATGAGGTGTCCAAGCAGGAACTTTGCCCAAGGAAACTTATTTCAGACTATGAGATGAGGCCGCAGTCGCCTTTGAGCACCACGGGGTATTTACATACCACCCCGGCATCGGTGAATTCTGTGGCCACTTCTTCCTCTGCTGTTTACAAACCCCCCTTGAAGCCCCCCAAGGGGACTCGCCAACCCAACAAGCCCAGGGTGCGCCCCACCTCTCGGCAGCCCTCCAAGGACCTGGGGTATGGCAACTATGGCCCCAGCATTGCCTACCAGACCAAATCTCCGGTGCCTTTGGAGTGTCCCACCGCGTGCACTTGCAACCTGCAAATCTCCGATCTGGGCCTCAATGTCAACTGCCAGGAACGCAAGATCGAGAGCATCGCGGAGCTGCAGCCCAAGCCCTACAACCCCAAGAAGATGTATCTGACGGAGAACTACATCGCCCTGGTGCGCAGGAGTGACTTCCTGGAGGCCACCGGCCTGGACCTTCTGCATCTGGGCAACAACCGCATCTCCGTGATCCAGGACCGCGCCTTTGGGGATCTCACCAACCTGAGGCGCCTCTACCTAAATGGCAACAGGATAGAGAGGCTGAGCCCGGAGTTGTTCTATGGCCTGCAGAGCCTGCAGTATCTCTTCCTCCAGTACAATCTCATACGCGAGATTCAGTCTGGGACCTTCGATCCGGTCCCCAACCTCCAGCTGCTATTCCTGAATGACAACCTCCTGCAGACCATGCCCTCAGGCGTCTTCTCAGGCCTGACCCTCCTCAGGCTGAACCTGAGGAGTAACCACTTCACCTCCTTGCCGGTGAGTGGAGTTCTGGACCAGCTGAAGTCGCTCATCCAAATCGACCTGCACGACAACCCTTGGGATTGTACCTGCGACGTGGTGGGCATGAAACTGTGGGTCGAGCAGCTCAGAGTGGGCGTCTTGGTGGACGAGGTCATCTGCAAGGCGCCCAAGAAGTTCGCTGAGATGGATATGCGCTTCATTAAGTCGGAGCTGCTATGTCCAGACTACTCTGACGTGGAGGTTTCCACGCCCACGCCCTCCTCCATCCAGGACCCCGCGAGGACCAGCGCGGTGACCCCCGCCGTGCGGTTGAACAGCACCGGGGCCCCCGCGGGCTTGGGCGCGGGCGGAGGCGCGTCGTCGGTGCCCTTGTCCGTGTTAATCCTTAGCCTGCTGCTGGTTTTCATCATGTCGGTCTTCGTGGCCGCCGGGCTCTTCGTGCTAGTCATGAAGCGCAGGAAGAAGAAGCAGAGCGACCACACCAGCACCAACAATTCCGACGTGAGCTCCTTCAACATGCAGTACAGCGTGTACGGCGGCGGCGGCGGCGGCGGCGGCGGCGGCGGCGGCGCAGGAGGCCACCCGCACGCGCACGTGCACCACCGCGGGCCGGCGCTGCCCAAGGTGAAGACGCCCGCGGGCCACGTGTACGAGTACATCCCACATCCGCTGGGCCACATGTGCAAAAACCCCATCTACCGCTCCCGAGAGGGCAACTCCGTGGAGGATTACAAAGACCTGCACGAGCTCAAGGTCACCTATAGCAGCAACCATCACCTGCAGCCGCCGCCGCCGCCGCCGCCGCCGCAGCAGCAGCAGCAACAGCCCCCGCCGCAGCTGCAGCTGCAGCCGGGGGAGGAGGAGAGGCGGGAAAGCCACCACTTGCGGAGCCCCGCCTACAGCGTCAGCACCATCGAGCCCCGGGAGGACGTACTGTCGCCGGTGCAGGACGCCGACCGCTTTTACAGGGGCATTTTAGAACCAGACAAACACTGCTCCACCGCCCCCGCCGGCAGTAGCCTCCCGGAATATCCCAAATTCCCGTGCAGCCCCGCTGCTTACACTTTCTCCCCCAATTATGACCTGAGACGCCCCCATCAGTATTTGCACCCGGGGGCAGGGGACAGCAGACTGCGGGAACCGGTGCTCTACAGTCCCCCCAGTGCTGTCTTTGTAGAACCCAACAGGAACGAATATCTGGAGTTAAAAGCAAAACTAAACGTTGAGCCGGACTACCTCGAAGTGCTGGAAAAACAGACCACATTTAGCCAGTTCTAAAGGCAGAGAAACTCCCTTGGAGCTTTTGCGTTTAAAACCGACAAGCAAGCAGACACACACCGCAAACACATTTGATTAATTGTGTTGTTTCAACGTTTAGGGTGAAGTGCCTTGGCACGAGATTCTCAGCTTCGGCGGAAGATACTGAAAGGGTGTGCAATTTCCTTTTAATATTACACGTGGGGAAACATTTGTGTAAACTGGGCACATCACTTTCTCTTCTTGCGTGTGGAGGAGACGAAGAGTGGGGCTTTACTGAGGGCAATTTGCTTCGCGAGTGACTTGTTAAAGGTCTCAGCAATTTTTGTAGTGGTTGGAAGTGTTAAGAATGGTGGGAGATGGTGGCGCATAGATTCTATTCTTCCTCTTTTGCTCCCTTCTCCCTTTGAGCCATGGGTGGGTCTAAATGGCTTTTGTGGAGAGATTAGCACACCCCAACTTTAATAGAAGGTTTGTTCTCTCTCTCTCTCTTTCACTCTCTCTCTCTTTCTCTCTCCCCACCCCCCTTTCTGCTTCCTCTCTTTCTCTGCCTCCCTGCCTTTTCCTCCTCTCTCATTCCTTTCCTTTCTTTTTAAAGGATGTGTTTGTATGCATTCTGGACATTTGAATTAAAAGAACAAACGTATTGTGATCTTGAAAAGATCACCATAGATGTGGACAAATCATTAAAATTACAGAGCTATATGATCCATAATTGATTAGTCAAAATAACTTATTGATGAAATATACAAATATTTTATTGTAGCACCTATTTTTATATGCACATTTAGCATTTCTCTTTCCTTCACTATTTAGCCTATGATTTTCACAGAGGTGTCACACTATATCAGGAGCTGCATTTCCAAAACTGAAGTGATATCAGGAAGGCATTTTAAATCATTAAAATATGGAGAACTTAATGGCAGAATCTTAAAAGTCAATGCAACCCACCCAATTGGATCTGTAATTTAAAACAAACAAACAAACAAACATTGTATCCCAATGTATAAAAGAAAAAGATTTAGGGCAATTAATTGGGCCATTCCAGTGAGAATCATGTGCAAGTTTCTGGTTTTGTCAGAGAAGATTTAAAAGTATTTTTATTAGTCAACCAAAATGATGTATTGATCTGACTACTATTGTAGCCGATTTTTGATTGTTTAACCAAACCCAGTTGCATTTGTACAGATCCACATGTACTGGCACCTCAGAAGACCAAATGATGGACTGTACAAATCTCTATACAATGTCTTTATCCCTCTGGGCAGCAAGCAATGATGATAGCCACAAACAGGATATCTGTAAGATGGGGCTACTGTTGTTACAGTCTCATGTATCCCAGCACATGTAATTTTTTAAATAGTTTCTGAATAAACACTTGATAACTATGTCACATATGAGGGACTGAAGTAATGATTACTTAAGGTGCAAAAGAAACAGCTATGTGTGATTGACTGAATCACCATTATTAATAATTTAAGACATAGTAGCTAACTTCTATTCCTGAAAGAAAAAAATGTTCCCCGAATTATCAAATATATATAATTACACCTTTGTTGGTTCAGGGAAATATGTTTATCTAAATGTGTCATTTAATGTGTTTATTAATGAAATTTCAACTGTATACTTCTTTTCCTTACTGAAGTATTCATCTAACATGTGGAGCATGGTAAGTAATGTATTGCACATTGATTTTGTATTTTCTCGTGCCAGTATTATTTATTCGGTCTACAATTTTTCATAGTTTAACTTGTGTCAAACTACCTTCAACAATTGTGATGGATACTTTATCTCAAGTTGATCTATATCCTAAATGTTCAAAATGTTTGGTGAGTATAAGCTGTTCATCTCTGAGTAAGGTTGGCCAGTGAATTAGATAATATTTATGGGTAGGAAACTTTTGAATTCATCGAAACTTAAAGAGCCATGTGCTTTATTCGTGTTGGTGGATCTCCCCATAATCTCACCTGGAATGTGTACAACATCAAGGGCTGTTCATGAACTTTATGTTTAAGGAATATTTTCCATGGCATTCTGCCACAAAGAGGCAGCATTCATCCGTGAGTAAACTGACAGTAACTACTTGAATTCAGATTGAACAGGTGGTAGCATTTTCCCTAAGGGGTTAAAAAATAATTAGTAACGCAACATTGGCCAAGTGAAGTAAACTATCCCCATTCTGTGTAACTTTTTCCCTTGCAAATTTTTTTTTCAAAGAGGAAAGGAATAAACTTAATGCCATGATATTATCATTAAAAAAATGTATCTCCTTCTCTCCATCTACCTCCTCCATATTAGATCCAGCATTGTAAGATAAATATAAATACTAGCATTTGACATCACAGTTGGGGTTGTGGTTAATTTTTTCTTCACAGTGGGAGTTATTTTTCTTTAAAAACTGTCAAAATCGCTTTCACAATATTATTATATATAGATATGGCAGTGTTGTATGATTTATAAAATATTAATACAAAGTGGAATCCTCCATGTAACTAAGTTTTTAGTTCTTAATTGATGCATTAAAAGTAAGAGGTAAGAATTACATGAAGTCAAAAATGTAGTTCTGGACAATATAAGTAGTTTCCAGAGAAAGTTTGTTGATGTATTTTTCAAAGATTTACAAAATAGTATTATTATTTTCAAACCAGCACTATTTCACATAATCTTGTTACATATACACTCACTGTAGGTGGTTCATTTCTACCTCTACTCTTCGTAAGGCATCCAGTATTTTTTTAGTCTCAAAAAATAATAATTATATGATTTATGGAAAGAAGTTACTTCTAATTTTTAAATTATACTCTTCCCATCTGTATTAAGAGGATAAAAGTAAACTTATCCTTGCCCTAATAAACTTGAAAAAATTTTAGCATGTAGAATCATGAAACTGTATAGAATAATGAATTATTTTTCTCCTTATACATGGTTTCCTGCCAATACATTAGCATATACAGCAGAACATAATTTGTGTGGTTTTGAATATTTGAATTTTGGTTTTTCAGGTATACTGAGTAAATAATTAAATTGGGTATATCAGTGGTATATGACTGGATTAAGGAACCCTGCAAATTCTCTCCATAGAATTTTGGAGAACAACAATATGTAATGTTTCAGGCATCAATTAAAATTTGGATGCAAACTAAGCTTACTCTTTGTGCTTGTTCTATTTGATATGTTGCATAATCTCATACAAATATATCTCCAGGTAGACATTACAAAATTTTATTTTTATCTATATATATGATTATAGTGTAAATATTTAGTTATCTCAGAGAAAGTAAATATATTCCATGTAAATGTAGATAACTTGTATGCTGGTATTCAAAATAATTTACAGCTAAACTAATGATTGGAGTTATGAATTAATCAATTTTAGCATTAGTATCAGACTCAGAACACATCTTTTGTTTAGGCAACAGTATCACCCCTACTTATGTGAAGTGGAAATTTTTGGTAAATATTCTGGGTATCCAGCTCTGTCCCTTACCACTGTTCCCTCAACCTCAATAGGAAAATCAAACTAGTGTGTAATGAAAAAGCCACACAAAATGTGGAAAAGTTTAGAACTTAAGAACTTAATCTAAGTTACCAGTTTCTTGCCCTATATCATTAATTCTATTCTTGTTACTAAGTTAGCAAATTATTCAAATTAAATATGTATACTTTTCTCTCCTTACTCTTATTTCCTGACTCTCTTCTTTTTTTTCCTTACATCTCACCCTTCCCTCCCTCCTTCTCTCTTCTTATCCTTTCTCTTCTTTATTTTTCAGTAGGGCAAGGGAAAGAGTGAGAATAGTTCAGTCCTTGTTTGAAAGCCAAAAACTGGCTACTTCATTTCAAGAGCTCAATAGGTCGTTCCCAAAGTCACACAACTCCAAATTAATGAAAATAAAGCAGACCACAAATATGCTTCCAATTCATTTGGAAATATGCTTTTGTTGCACTTTCAGATGGTCCCAAATTAAGATATTTGCAAAGGTGGCAAAATATTTCTTTTTAACTCATTTTAAGAACAAATTTTACACTGAGAAAGAAGAACTGAAAACAACAAAAGAACCGATTTAAACTCTGGAAGGCAGGAGCATTTAATGAATTGTTTTTCAAAGGAAATAAAATATGAAACTGATAATCAAACTGCTATTAAATTAACTAGTTTATACATAATGTTCCTCATACCCACTGAAGTTCTCTACTATGTTGCAAATACAAATATATGACAATAAAATTAAAGTAGTTGGACGGACATTAGTCATGTGCCTAAAAATAATTATCTAAGATCTAAATCCTAAGAAACATATATCAATTAATACTGCATTTGACAACTGTGCATTTTATCATTAATTTGATTTTAATTCAATTTAATGCCTATCTATAACTATCCATATATATTTCCATTGGTAATATATGTAGCACGTATATGGCATACAAAAATATATTATTAAAGCATGGCATACCCAATTTTCATTTCAAGTTTTAAATTATTTTAAATTATACTTCCGTGTTCTACTCTTTAGGCATGTTAGATTGGGGGGGAAAGAAAAGAATCTGATGCAGTATAATCTTTGAGTCTGACAATAATATACTCTTTTCTTCCTCTATTTATGGCAAATCATTTGGCTTACAAGACACAGGTCAAACATTTGTCATGGTAGTAGTGCCAGTATTATAAAATGAATAGCTTTTATACTCCTTTTTTAAAAGAACAACATTTAACCTTAAATTTGAGTGATTTAGATTATTTCTTATAAAAAGAACTTTTGAAGATCAAAACATAAATATTTCATAGAGAACTGATGTAATGCAAATTCGAAATAATTTGACTTTCTCACTTTCTATTTACTGTCAAAAAATATAACGATATATGGCATAATGCTAAGTATGTCAGATACATTTTTATTAGATATTAAGAAAGTCATTTACAGAAGAAAAGTAATATTCATAGAGATATGTTGAGTGGAAGTCTTCCAATGAGTTTTTTTTTAATTAGGTACTTTATCAGTGAACATGAAGGAATATTGTATATTTCTACTATAAAATAAACAGGTTCATGCTTCAAAATTACATGTGTTTCTAAAAGTGGAAAATATGAAACAATGATTTTAAGGGTGATTTTTTTTAAGTTAAAATATGCAGAAATAGAATTGTGCTTTTTCAAATTGAAGGCTTATCAGCATCTTGGTCGACTTTCAACAAACTTATTTGAAGATCATTACATTCTAAGACATATTTCCAATGTATCACAATGTAAACTCAATTCAAATTTGTGATACTC